AGTTGACACAATATAATATTAGTTTCAGATGTACACCCCCGTGACTAGACATTATATAACTTACTAAGTGATCATCCTGATAAATCTCATAGCCTTCTGACCCCATACATATGCTATTAGAATATTGACTATATCCCCTCTGCTGTGCTTCACATCCCCATGACTGTTCTGCAGCTACCAATTTGTACTTCTTAATCCCTTTAACTTTTCACCCATCCTTCACCCATCCCCCCACCCACCCTCCCATCTGGTAACTGTCAGAATGTTCTCTAGGAGTCTTTTGGTTCTGCTTGTTCATTTATTTTATTATTTAGATTCAATTATTGATAGATATGTATTGCAATTTTATTCATATTTTGTTTTTTTTTCTTCTTGTCTGGAAAGCTCTTTATATGTTCTTTGATTCTAAGTGATAACTTTGTTGGATAGAATAACCTTGCTTTTATCACTTTGAATATTTCTTGCCAGTCCCTTCTGGCCTGCAAAGTTTGTGTTGAGAAATCAGCTGACCGTTTTATGGGAGCTCCCTTGTAGGAGACTAACTGCTTTTTTCTTGCTGTTTCTAAGATTCTCTCTTTGTCTTTAACCTTTTGGATTTGTAATTATGATGTGTCTTGGTGTGGGCCTGCCTTCTGACCCCATACATATGCTATTAGAATATTGACTATATCCCCTCTGCTGTGCTTCACATCCCCATGACTGTTCTGCAGCTACCAATTTGTACTTCTTAATCCCTTTAACTTTATCTTGTTTGGGACTCTGAGCTTCCTGGACTTGTATATCTATTACCTTTACCATGTTAGGGAAATTTTCTGTCATTATTCTTTCAAATAGGTTTTCAATTTCTTATTCTCCCTCTTCTCCTTCTGGCACCCCATGATGTGATTGCTGGTACATTTGAATTTGTCCCAGAGGCTCCTTACCTTATCCTCATTTTTTTTTAAATTCTTTTTTCTTGTTGCTGTTCTGATTGGGTATTTTTTTGCTTCCTTATATTCCAAATCGCTGATTTGATTTTAGGCTTCATCTATTCTGTTGATTCCTTGTAATGCATTCTTCATTTCAGTTAGTGTATTCTTTCTTTATTCTGACTGGTTCTTTTTTCTTTTTTTTTTGACATGTTTTTTATTGATTTTAGAGAGAAAGGAAGGGAGAAGGAGAGAAAGATAGAAACATGGATCAGCTGCTTCCTGCAGGCCCCTCACTGAGGATCAAGCCTGCAACCCTGGCATGTTACCTGCCCAGGAATCGAATCAGTTACCTCTTGGTGCATGGGACGATGCTCAATCCACTGAGCCACACCAGCGGGCCAGTGACTTGTTCTTTTTTATGGTTTCCTAGCCCTTTCCTGCATTCTGTGAGCCAACTAATTTCCTTTCAAGTCAAAGTAGTTGAGTTGAATTTCTATCCCTTATAACTAAATTAATACCTGAATTTGGATGAAGCATTCTGACTCCAATGTTCTTTCTTTCTCTAATGTACCATATTCCTTCTCTAAAGCAGTTATTGTCTCCAGTGGTCAGCAAACTCATTAGTCAACAAAGTCAAATATCAACAGTACAATGATTGAAATTTCTTTTGAGAGCCAAATTTTTTAAACTTAAACTATATAGGTAGGTACATTGTTATTAACTTAATTAGGGTACTCCTAAGGCTTAGGAAGAGCCACACTCAAGGGGCCAAAGAGCCGCATGTGGCTCGCGAGTCGCAGTTTGCCGACCACGGGTCTAGACCAGAGCTGTTTAATGGAACTTTCTGCAATGATGGAAATGTTTTGTATCTGCAGTGTCTAATACAGTAACTGTTAGCCATGTGTGGCTCTTGAGGTCTTAACATGTGTCTAGTGCAATTGGGAAATTAAAATTCTAATTTAACTTTAATCAGTTTAAATTTAAATACCCACCTGTGGCTAAGGCTACCAATATTTTTGATACTGTACCTCTAGACATTGTGAGGACAGTAGAAGTTGTATCTCTTATTTCTTTTGGTTTTTTTTAATCAGGGAAGTGGTGTGTGTTTAGGGAAACAAACAAGATTAGACATTTTACTTGAAAATGTGAATATGTATAGGAAATCACATGACTAATTTCCATTCCTTCCATAATATGGATGTGGTAGATATTTTAGCAGAAATGGGACAAAAAAAACTATTATTGTGCTATCGTAGTGTCATTTCTGTCTATAGAACATAAATGTATTTGTAAAATGTAGTTAATATTTGATCAGGTTGCCAAGGAACATAGCAAACTCTAGTCCAAATAAATTAGCATATAAATCTGGGGGAGAGACTGTCTAGCTAGCTCCCTTTGGTGTTTTTCAGCTAATCAGTCTTTGTAAATAATATTTTGCTTAAGTGGATTTTCTGCATAAGATTAAAGAAATGTTATTTGAGAGGATCTACATAAGGTGTGTTTTATTTCCGCACAGTGTGTCATTCACTTGTGGGGAATAAGTCTAAAAGACACAGGAGGTAGTGATTATGCTGCCGGGCAAGAAAGGCTTGGGAATAGAGTGAAGGGCAGACCTGGGACTAGGGAAAGGGTACTGGCAAGAAAGGCAAACAGGGAGAAGGAAATCTATGAAAGACTAGAGATAGGCTTAAGGCCAGATCCATGGAGCAGGTCAGTTTGTCTAGCTCAGTGCCTGGTGCTCAGTAAGTGTTTGTTGAAGGAAAGAATGAATGATAGCTAGGGAAAAGAAGAATTGCTCTTGCAGGAACTATGGAATCCTACTTTGGTCCCACCTTATTTTGTCTGTACTTGATCTCAGCCATCACATGTATTCTTGACCTTGAGTTGCTGTTTGGTTTATTGTTAGAACATATACTAAATGTGGGAAGAGATCAACCGAAGAACTTATATGCATATATGCATAACCCATGACACAGACAGTAGTGGGGTGAAGGCCTGGGAGGGGATGGGAGTGGGGAGAAGAGGGGTCAAGGGGGAAAGAAAGAAAGGGGACATCTGTAATATTTTCAACAATAAAGATAAATTTAAACAAAAAGAAGGAAAAAATAAAACAAGTGCCTGATTGGGGGCGGTGGGGGGAAGAATGGAACAGAGTAGGTATCTAGCCCCTGGATATCCTGGCCTTGGGTAGCATGGTGAGCACTTCTGGCTGATCTGATAAGTTAGAGGCAAGTGCTTATTTTCTGTGTGGTTTCTAGAAGGCAATCAAGATGACCAGAAGCAAGGTGGAAAGTTAAACATTTTTCGTATGAGTATGTAAATGGATGTAAACGTAAGATTTTTAAAAATATATATTTTATTGATTTTTTACAGCGAGGAAGGGAGAGGGATAGAGAGTTAGAAACATCGATGAGAGAGGAACATCGATCAGCTGCCTCCTGCACACCCCCCACTGGGGATATGCCCACAACCAAGGTACATACATGCCCTTGACTGGAATCGAACCTGGGACCCTTCAGTCCACAGGCCGACGCTCTATCCACTAAGCCAAACCAGTCAGAGCAACATGTAAGATTTTAATACATGAAACTGATTCGGTGCTGTATAAAAAATGGTTAGGCATGCATCATCTTTTTTTATTCAAATGTCCTCTAAAATCTGATAGCCCATAAAAACTTAGTGTATAGAAAATTTTAACCAATTCCTTTACTCACATCTTTTTTTTAAAATATATTTTATTGATTTTTTACAGAGAGGAAGGGAGAGAGATAGAGAGTTGGAAACATCGATGAGAGAGAAACATGGACCAGCTGCCTCCTGCACACCTCCCACTGGGGATGTGCCCGCAACCCAGGTACATGCCCTTAACCGGAATCGACCATGGGACCTTTCAGTCCGCAGGCCGACACTCTATCCACTGAGCCAAACCGGTTTTGGCCTTTACTCACATCTTATAGTGATTTTATATCTGATAGTGAAAGCAGATTTTAGAATCTGAAAAAATACAAAGCTTATATAGGTTGTATTTTCAATTTTAAGTGAATATATATATATTTATATTTGTAACCCAGTTTAATTTGCACCCTTATGTGGTATCATTCTCTATCGATATGTAAGAGTAACTTGTACGTAGTCTGTTTGCAAAGAAAAGTTTGACTAAGAAAAGCCTCTCTTTGATCTGTTTCATTGAATATATGTTTGAGTGTCTAACAGGCACTGTTTTAAACCCTGGGAATAGGACCCTGAACTAAGCACAATCCTCCCTCTGTTGGCGAGGCGCATGGTCAGAGGGCATCATTCAGATGAAGTGGTAACTAAGTGAATAAGCAGAGGTGCCTCACTCATCTCGGAGAGGTGCACAAGGGAGCTCGGATAGAAACTGATAAACTCCCTGAAGGCAGGGTCTTTGTTTGGGTTTGTCTGTTGTGTTCACTGCTTTATCCCCAGAGCCCAGAATAGTGGTTGGCTCATAATAGACATTCAATAAACATATATTGTTGATTGAAGAGTTTATTGTTTTGAATTTGTATAATCATAGACATGTACGTTAGTGAATAATTTTTACATTTAGGTAGTTGAAATTTTTATAGTCTCAGTTACCTTATTTTTATGTTTCTTACCTACGTTTTGTTTCTCCTTGTGCCCAGAAATCCGGAAGCAGGAAAAATTTATTAATATTAATAATTTGTCCTATGGTAACCTGACATGGCAAAGGATAGATTTTGAAAGCACCTTCAGAGGTCATCTTTTGTTCGGTTTCCTGCCCAGGAAAAACTGAGTAAAATAGTTAGGTCTGTATCTTTACTCATAAATAACTAGGACAACATAATTGGGTTCTCTCTTGAGAAAATGGAGAAAGGTACTTAACCCTAGATATAAAGGTACTAACCTGAAAACGTAGAACTTCTAACTATGTGGAAAAGTGAAAAAAAAAACCAAGCCCAACTAAGCTGCTCTTTGTTGATATCAGAAATGGGCCTGTCATTCATTTTGGCATTGAAGCATAGCCTCCTATCTCGGGGGGCAGGACCAGGACTTTTTTTTCCTCCCTGAAGAGCTGGACAGTTATTACAGGTTGAAAAGCCCAGACCAATTTTTCAAGAGTTTGGCTTTTTTTTTTCTTTCTGAAACTCATGGTGTTTTTGCTCTGCTTTCAAGATGCGTTAAGGTCTCCTGCGTTTTGACTGCTTTGGAGCCAGCCAGTATCCTGACATGTACAATTCGAATTATGCAGGTTTCATGAGTAAGTTTAATCTTATTTTTTAGCTAGTTAAAATTCAAGTGCTTTTTAGAAAAACGGAGTTAGGCATTTTATTTCACTACTTTTATTTTAGGTATAATTTAATCAACCTTTACTTTAAAAAAGCAAGATTTTACATTAAAATGTCCCTTTTGTCTCTAAGAGCTGCACTTTCAGTTTCTTTTGAAGTGTTGTTTTGTATTAGATGATATTCATAGGTCTCCTGAAAGACAGTTAACTCACCAGTTTTCTTGAGCATCTTTTTAGTTTTACTCAGTATTTTAAATTGAGCTTCCTGTGCTCGATTGCTTATGTCTGACACAGTCTCAAGTTTCCAGTGAATGGTAACAAAGACTGTAGAGTGTTGTGGGTACTGCAGTGAGAGGCATGCTTCTTTAGACCAGGTAAGAGAGATCATTTTGTTTCTTACTGCTGGGTGAGTTTTTACAGCGCTTATTTTATATAGTTTCAACTGCAGCAAAATTACATTGATAAGTAGCCAAGAGCACGCTGAATTCAAGACGTCCTTGCTTGTTGCAGACAGGAAAACTAGAGTATGGGGGTTGGGATTGGGGGGAAGGGTAGAGTAAGCTTAGTTTATCACTCAGTTACTTATATAAATCAATTAAAATGAGAAAATAATTCCGGAGCTCAGTTTTCTTCATCCAGGAACTAAGGAAGCAGTTGAGGAAATGCATAATTTTAAAGGTACTTCATGGTTAATTGCTTGTGAATGCAATTCAAATGATAGTTTTTACTTTCATTTCTTTCCAGTAGTTAATAAAATAAGCTTTGCCCGCAACTATGCACTTTTTTCATTTATGAAAACTTTTAAATTGTCAACAGTAAAATATGCTTCCTCAGGATCCTTGGAATAAACCTGACACTTAAAAAAACATTTCAGCTTCTATGGCTGTTTCATTTCTTTTTTCCCCCCAGTACATTTTTCTTAAAAAGTATTTGTGCTTTGAAAATGTCAGCTGTATTCTAATGAAGCTTGGGCATTGTTTGCACATAAAGGGGCCGGTGCATTCCACAGCTTTATGGTTTATTATGAGGCACAGTGTGAGAGTGTGGGTGGCACCATTTGCTGTCTGCCTCTTGGGGTAGTGACTGCCATTATGTTAGTGTTGGATTGGCAAAGAATATATAACATGCAAGATCCTATGTGAATCTGCATACTGTGAAGAAAATCTTAACCCTAAACAATACCGAGTGAGCCTGGAATGTGTGACAACTTGATTGAGTTGGTCACTTCAAGAATACTCTTGAAGTCTGCGTTTGAGTTACAATTAATATCCTACCAGTCACATCTCTTGTTTTTGGATATATATAACATTTACTCATTCTTTGAACTTTAATAAGGAAATCAATGTTTCTAAGTAAACTATGACATTTTAAGTAGATGCAGTAAAATGTTAAATAATACATTTATTTGGAAAAAAGTTTTAAGCAACTTAGTGTGGGTGGGGAGAGGGAATGAGAGAGGGAGAGGAGGTCAGGCAGAGAGCCTTTCTTTCAGTTAGGAAAGCTCTGTGAAGAAAAAAAGCAACAGATGTTTCTTCTGTTACAATTGAGGCTGTTTCATTCAAAATTCACAGTAGCTGAAATGGGGAGGGGAGGTCATAAATCTGACTTAATCAGCGAATAAATAAAACTTAGTTATTTAAATTTATTCTTTTATATTCAGGATTTGAGAATCAGTATAGGGTAACATTCTGAGTAACACCTTCTGGAGAGGCTTCTTAAAATCTTAAACATTTATGTGTAATGGAAATGTGAGAAAGTTAATTTTAGTGCATAAAAAGGTCATTAACTCATGTTAGGGAAAATCAATATAAAATATGTAAGGAATACTGCAGTTGCAACAGTTTGGAATTGCACAGTAGGTACTAAGGCTCAAAATGAAATTGCAGTATGAAACATCATTCGAGTATAGTGGTAGATCATTTTATCAATAAGAAGCATGAGACTTATTCCAGAAAGTCTTTGAATCTTCTTTGTGGGAGAAATATTTTAAGTTTATTTGAAATGATGTGTTCCAGTTTGCCTCTAAAAAGAAAGACCATGAGCTTAGATTTGGTTGCTAATGGAAAGAGGGGAAGAGGGAACTGTTTATCTGCTCAAAGAGTGGGAAAGGAGAACTTGAAAGCCGTGTGCATGCCAGGAGAGCTGTAAAGAAATCTACTTGATTTGTGGGATAAATAATAAGTCACATAAAAACCTTTACTTTTGCCGAACCGGTTTGGCTCAGTGGATAGAGTGTCGGCCTGCGGACTCAAGGGTCCCAGGTTCGATTCCGGTCAAGGGCATGTACCTTGGTTGCGAGCACATCCCCAGTGGGGGGTGTGCAGGAGGCAGCTGATCGATCTCTCTTGTCGATGTTTCTAACTCTCTGTCCCTCTCCCGTCTTCTCTGTAA